GTTTTTATCGGCCGTTAGTCTCTGTGCGCTGATGTTCACCAGCATCAATATTCATCAGCCACGTCACGCTATTAGTGGGCCTGGGGTGGTTGCTTAATTTTGTAGAGCATCCAGTTTGAACACACCGGCTCTGGATAAATGTTTCCTCCTGATGATGATGATAATGATGCCTGCAGCGGTGCCGAGTCTTGTAAACCAGGACTTGAGGTGGGGCAGAAACCTATGAACACAGGATCTAAGCAGAGCGAACTCATTCGGCCCCAGGGGGTTGGCTTCTCCAGTCTCCTCCCGCTCCCCCCCCCCCCATCTGAATCTACCTTTTCACTCTTCGGGTCAGTTCCAGGTCTGTCCTTTCACCAAGCGCCTGCCAGAGCTCCTCTCCCCGAAATCTAACTCTCGCCCAAGTGCTGTCTCACCTGTACTCTGTGTGTAACAAGCGCTAACGTTTCCTAAGAGCTTTAAGGCAAGTGCTCTGCTAAGCTACAGACCAGGGACTTCGAAAAGTTCATGAGAAATGCAATTAAAGCATGAGTTTATTTTTGGTACAAAAAACTTTGAAATGCATAGTTTTTTCCTAACGTTCATGTTCCATGAGCTTTTTGGAGACCCCTTTGTATATATTGTATGTGCCACCTCCCCAGCTACATATGAAATAGTTAACTCCTTACAGACAAGAGCTGAGTTCCAAACTTGTTTCTATGCCCCGAGGAGAGCGTAGGAGGGTGCTGGGGCCTTAGTGAACGTTCACTGAGCGTTTCTCGGCTGTCCACCAGTCCTGAGGGATCAGGCGAGCGAGCTCTGGAAGGAACGCTGCCTGAAATCATACCGGAATCAGATGCACCTGTGAATGACTTTTGACTTCCCACTCCCCAGGATATAAGCCATCTGGGCTGCCATGAATTAATTAAAAGAGCAGGGGCTAGGGATCAGGGGACCCTGGTTTCATCCTACCTCAGCCTCCAGGCCAGAGTGGCACCTCAATCATCACCTCAAAAAAGGAATTGGACGAGATGCCTGTAAGCTGCCTTCCCACCCCAAGTGCTGGGATCCTATGACTCTATTTTACAAATGCATGCACTTCTTATTTGTGACATAAACCCCACGGAAAAACAAAGTCAGTAATAAATTATGGAAAAACTGGGTGCCATGATCACCTGCACTTCCTAAGCATGTGCGATTCAGTAAATTCCACCCTTGTATAGAGCTGCCTCTGCAGGGCACAGAAGACTCGAGCTGTCAGCGAAGCGCACCGACAGTCTCTCCTATAATTGTATTGACAGGGTATCAGCCGAGTCCCGATGGCAGGAAGGGTGCACCCCTGACAGGTTTTGTGACGGAGCCTTGAAGGCTACTGTAGCAGGATTCAATGTTGAGTCACAGAATTCTGGGGGTTAGAGAATCAAGGAGGAGGAAGCTTGGCTCTTTCTCTATTTAATTTTATTTTTCCCAGAGAGTCACGTTTGAAGGAAAACGAGGTAACTGCACGTCACTTCATACAGTCGAGGAGAAGCCCTTTTTAATGGGAAATATTTGCATCTTTTTGTGGTCACATTAAACACCAGCTTGATCCGGCCCGTCCTGTTACATAACGGGTTGGCTTGGTTTTAAACGAGGCAAATACGTACTGAGTATTTGTACATAAAACACCGGCTTAGATGTCAGAGTCGTTCACTTTTCACTTGGTTACTGTGGCATCTCGCAGGCACATTCTCGAATAACGGATGTGTACACATCCCGGTAAATTTCATAGGTGTGAAATACCAGTGCTGGGTTTGCTCAGTCAGTGTTTCTGCATTTTAAATGAGAAAATGCTCATCCTATTCACTGGAGAAGACAATTTGAGCAACAATCCCTCCAATGTGGGGGGATAAATGACAATTCCTAAAGCGCTGTGTTCTTCCAGCCCAGATGCACACCTGCAGGTTCAACCTTCGACAAAAGCCGAACTCAGTTCAGCTGGCCCTCCTGAAGACACCCAAGGCAGAGGGCACCCCCCACCTCTGCCTCACACAAGGAGAAGTGTGTACCAGCGGGGGAGCGGAGAATCTGGGCGGCCGAAACCCATAAGCCACAATGAAGAATTCTACAAGCCATGTGCAACAGAAATTTCAGTAACACAAAAAATCCTTTTCAAAAAGCTGCACAGCCTTCCATACAAGGAGCCTTCAAAAAATCGTGGAAATTTTATTATGAATAAACTATACATGTATTTCAACATTTTTTTACACCAAAATAAACTCGTACTTTCAATTTCCACAAACTCTCTCAGTCTCTTCATACTTTCAATTTTCTTTTCTTTAAAGTCAAAACCCTCATGGTGTGTTTTTCTCCCCCAGAATTTCAAATTTCTTTCCATTTTCTTCTTTTCTTTGAAGCCAAAAAATTCCACTTTTTTTCAGAATTTCCATTTTTCTTTAAAATGCAAGGAGCTGGTTTGGGTGGTAAAAAGAACAATTGGTGGGAGGGAGTCAGGGGATGGTTTCTAATCGAGGTTCTGCCAGAACCTGAGCAAAAGCCCTGAGCAAAAGCCCGGCTGGGACGGCCTCGCAGACTTGTCGGTGAGAGGGACTGAACATTCACCTTTCTCTCCGGGCTCACTCTACGCTCACTTTGATTTCCGTCCTGTTTCGCTAGGAAATCTTACAAGAGATGATAAATACAGAAATGTGGACATGATCTTCACTGCCGTACTGCAGGCCCTGAGGATCACAAGGAAAGTCGAAGGAAAGGCTGACCCCTGGCGGCCCCTGGAAAGAGAAGCCAATCCCAGTTTCTTTTATTTATTTATTTTTTTGGAGAAGTTTTTGCTATAGGGCACGCGCTCACCAGAAAGACAGAAAGCGAGAAATCACCCCCCACTAGGGGCGGGGAGATGGCCACGCAGCAATCCCTTCTCCTCCATTCTCCTCTCGGGATCGTGGCACGCATGCACATGTGCCTGGCACGAGTTTAAGCCACCGGGACCGAGACTGGAACCGTGGTCAACTACATGGGAGTCCAGCGACATAGCCATAACGCCAACTGCTGGTCCCAGCAAATCCCAGTTTCATTCACCAGAAAGTGCCAGGACTCATACACCCCTGCTCCAGTGGGGCCGCCATGGGCCAGGGCAGCCCCTGCTGCTCCGGCACCATCACCAGAGGCCAGGACACTCCTGCTCAGCGTCCCAGTCCCCAAAGACAGTCCCGCTGTGGGTGGGTGGGTCATCTCCTGCAAACTCTCCCACCCTAAACTCGGGTTCAGGAACCAGGGATTGAATTTGGCCTGGACGCTGTTCAGCGGGCGCCACCCAGAGGCCAAATGTGTCCTTCTGGATATAGGCAGGGAGGGAAACAGCAGAGGAAAGGAAGAAAATGGGGAGATTTACATCTAGTGTACATGTATAATACACAGTACAGAATACATATTTATATCACACACACATACCGAGGGCTTTAGAAAGATCATGGAAAAATCAAAGTTTGTATCCATTTTGGTGCTAAAAATTTTGAGATTTATGCAGTTTTTTTCATAATACACATTTTCTATGAACTTTTGGAACACCTCCCTCATGTATACAAGTGCACATATTATGTATGTACATTTTAAAATGCATGTAAACACATATACAGAGTAGTGTGTATATATACACATATTTTTGTGCATGTGTGTATACATGTGTGTGTGCATACATGTGTATATAGGTATGAGTGTGAATCTTTCACTCAGGGTAGGCATCACACCAACTTGATGGAAGGAACTCCATAATGCCCTTCATTTTTATTTAATTTATTAATTTTACCTATGTATTCATTCAAGCAGCTGGACTCAAGACTGGAACGTCACAGTGAGCCATTTGGGATCCAGCTGCCTTAACCCCACACCACAGGCTGGCCCAGTGCCCTCCTTATACTTCAGAGGGAAGAAGTTGGCAGCGTGAAGGCAGCTAGTCAGACGATGACCTTCATGTCCCCTCAATCCCAGAATGGTGAGCCCAACTCTGCCCCTACTGTCCACTGAGAGGCTGTACCCATCCAGAAGTACGTGCAGGACCCATTCCACTTGTGGGAGGGGGAGGCCTAGGGCAGGGCATACAGACGGGAGGGTGCAGCCCCCACCGCCGCGCAGTATCCCCTCTTGGGCAGGAACGCAGTTTGGGGAAAACAGAGTAGTCAGTGTTTTTCCAGGAGTCAATTAACTCGTCTAATTCTGACAGAGTGAGAGAGCCCAGGTTCCCTTTACCAAAAATCACAAACAAACAACAACCTCTGCTTCTAATCCGCACCTGGCAGCCGGAATCTTGCTCGCAGAATCCATGGTTACCACCTGCGCCTCCCACCTCCGGCACCTGGGAAGCCGAGCGCATTTTTGGCAGCATACTGCCCCCCAGCGGCGCCAGAGAAGTTTGCTCCGCGCTAGCTCCCCGCCCACCGAGCCGCACCGAGCCGGTCCCTGCGGCCCCGGGGACTTGGGGTTCCAGCGGCCGGGGACGAGGCTCAGTGCGGCGCAGCGTGGAGAAAAGGGGAGGCTGTCTAGCTAGAAACCGCAGCGCGCTCACTTGTGCCCGCGGGGTCTCCTGAGCCAAAGGTTCGCGCCCCTGTTCTGTTAGGGTTACGGTTTGGAGGAGTGATAGGAGTGGGCAAAGATTACGGGGAAGTGATGCTTCCGGGAGACAGCGCTGGTCGCAGAGAAGCAGCCCCGGCGTGCGGGGACAGCGACGAGGCGGCCTTCGCTCGAGGAGGGCTGGCAGGCCAAGCTAAGGACGTGCGACCTGCCCGCCACCCCGTGGGGTCACCGGCGCTCCTGGGGACCCTTCCCAATCTGTCGTTTCGGAGGTGCCGTTACCGCTCCACTTTGCGGCTTAGGACACTGAGGCTCCGCGACACAACGCGACCTGCCGGTGACCGCGCCCGGGTCAGCCTTTCTGGACCAGAGCTGGGGCTTCCAACGCGGCGCTGGGACCCGGGGCCACGAGGCCGGGGCCAGGCCGGCGGGTGACCGGCGGGCGAGTCGGGGCTCACCTTGACGATGAGCGGATTTTGGAGCATGGAGTCCCGCACGACGCCCAGCCTCTCGTTCTCCATGCCCGGCCGGATGTCGGCCACCGTCAGGGGCCGCCGCGGGGGCGGGCAGATCTGGCTGACCGTGCGGCGCACCGGCTGCTTCTTCTTCTTCCATCGCGTGAGGTCCTGCCCGGAGTCCCCCGACTCTGGCATCCTGGGGTCGCGGGTGTCAGCGCAGACTGGGTCCGGCGAGAGCCCGGCGTCGGGGCCCGAGAGCGCTCCAAGGCCGCGCGCCCCGGGCGGCACCACTGGGGTCCGGGGGGACCCGCGTGTCGAGGGCCCTCCCGAACAGGGCGAGCCCGCCGCCTCCGACCTCGCGCCGTTGCAAGGAGTTGTAGAATGCCAGAGTAGCCTGCTGGTTCCTCGGAGCATCTTCTGGGCGCAGCACTGCGGGTTAGGAGAGGGAAGAAGTTTAGGGCCACCCCTTAAGGCAGAATGGAACGGTCCGTCTCCTTGGCGATGGGACGCCAACGGCGTCAGGCGCAAGTCTGTGGTGTTCCTTCACTAAACTATTGGAGACTACCAACGTGGGTCTGTTTAGTGTTTTCTTATAACGACTGGAAAACTCAAGAGTCACCACTCGGTCGTGTTAAAAGGACCTAGAGGGCCATTTACACATGACCTCCGAGTCAAAGATACCCTTCCTCCACCGACCCACAATACTTCCGGTGTCTCCCCAAGCCTGCCAGATACGCCCAAAACACAGCGCTAAATTTTTCAGGCTGAAATAGAGACCTGTATTCCCAGGCCTGATGTTCCTGCCCATGCACTGGGTGATCTTTTCTTTTTGGAGAGGTTTTCCCTCCACCGGAACTCAACCGTGGTCGACCACATGGGAGGCCAGGGACATAGTCATTACGGCAACTGCTGGCCCCCATGTGCTGGGTGATCTTAAGCTAGTCACGCTCGTGGATCCTACGTCTTTTCCTTGGTGAAATGGGGTGGAGAGGAAAGCCGAGTTAGCTTAAATCAGTGGTACCCAACTTTGTGGGATAGATCTCGCCCTATAGCAAAAAATCCCTCTAAAAAGTAATAGTAATTATAACAAATGGAATTAAGCAAATAATTCTTCAAAAAAGAAAAAAGAATACAGTGCAAGCAGATATAGGCTTCCCTAGATTCACCAGTCCTTGCACTTGTCAAGTTTGCTTTCTCTGTGCATGAGTCTGCACGCATGCACGTGTGTTGCTCAATCATTCGAAATATCTCAAAATCATATTTGACCCTAGATATTTCATCATATATCAGGGACGTTCTTGCACACGACTGCCATGTCATCTTGATGCCCAAGGATTTTAATGTGTTTCAACAAACATTTCTAACATGCAGTCTGTCTGCAAAGGAAGAACTGCATTTTTTTTTTGAGATGTTTTCGCTATAGGGTGCGTGTGCTCGCCAGACAGACAGAGAGAGACAGAGAGACAGAAAGCAAGAAATCACCCCCCAGAGGGGATGGTCACGCCACAATCCCTTCTCCTCCATTCTCCTCTCAGGATCTTGGGCATGCACGCACACGTGCCCAGCATGAGTTTTAAGCCACCGGGTCCGGGACGCGAACCGCGGTCGACTACGTGGGAGTACAGCAACATAGCCATTACGCTAACTGTTGGTTCCCGAAGAACTGCATTTTTTTAAAGCGTCCTAGGTGATTAGTGTGGTTTTGAACCTCTAGCCTAGATGAGCTCCTTCCCAGTTTCAGGCTTTTGTGGGCCCATTCATCCATCCTTCTCATCTTCATTAAACGCAAATATCCACTTCCATGAGACTCTCACCACAGAGCAAGTTCAGCTGGCAATAAATGTGGACTTGGAGTCCTGCCACACCAGCAGTAACAACACCAGCGCCAGCAGCAGTTACAGACCGACCACTGTTTGCTCATTGACAGCCCAGGAGTGGCCCGTGTGTGGCAACACGCGTGCACATGCTTATGGTTTCTCCAGCTTACTTCACCTCCGGACTTTCACAGAAGTGTAGGTATCGGCATCCGCGCCCGGCCTTGGCTCTAGCTTAATCATGATCGGGGGCTGATGGTGATGAAGAGAAAAGAGGAAGAGAAAGAGGAAGCCCTCCATCTCGAGAGGACCGGGAATCGGAAAGAGACAGAGAGAGAGTAACAGCGGACACAGGCAGCCTGAGCCTAGGTAGCCCAAGCAACTTGAGCCACCCAGAGAAACCAGGCATCTTTATTTATAGTACAAGGAGACACTACATATGTATATTTTATGTCATTCCATAGATTTGTTGATGTGTTACAGATAATAAGAAGCAGGTAACAAATCTATAAGGGCTTAGACACACTGGGCCAGGTGTATTCCTTGGTGACAATCCCATCAAGAGGAAATCCCATTATCTTCTTTTCTAATGGAGAAGCCTCACTGCAGGTGTGGGAAGAAACATAAGGCTAAATCCTCTCTCCATAAGGCGGGCACAACCACGCCCAGAGAAGGCTAAAGAACTTCTCCATAAGGAGTGCACCACCACTCCCAGAGAAGGCTCAAGAATCTTACAGATGCAGAGCAGGGACTGGACTTTGCTAATTGGGGTCAAGATGTTTCCTGAATTCCGTCAGATGGGTCTGTTGGAACACCCCTAGCAATTTCCACCTTTGCTCTGCCTGCAGCGAGGGTCAAGGAAAGGACAAATTGCAAGGTTTTGCCAAAACCCAGAGGGACAGATGGTGTTTGCTCAGAGCCTGTCCCCACACCTCGGGGACTCTCTGTAAACGCTCCCTACATGTAGGTTACACACTTTTTCATCGAAGCCGCTTAGCAGCGCACACTCAAGAAGTCAGGACGGTGCAGTGAGGGGCAGGATAGTGGAGTTACAGAAAAAGCACACCCTGTAGAAAGGGTGCAATCCTGGGAGGGGCATGTGAGAGTCACCTTGCACTCACCTTGGGCAAGCTATGCAAGTTCGTTTTCTCACCCACAAGGTGGGGTTAATACTACCTAAAAAAGATAGTGCTAGAACAGAGGGTTGTTATAGGGTTAAACAAAGCAATCTGTTGTCTATATGGTTATAGTTCCTATACAAAAAAGCGAAACGTTTTGGCGGTGTATATAGCAGTCTCAGTCTGATGGCCTGATCCAAGCTTTACTTTTAATCATCAGCTAAGTTCCTTAAGAGCTTTGTTGTAATGGGAGGACTGACAGCTCTCAAAGATTTTTTTTTTTTTGAGAGACTTTTGTTATAGGGCGAAGAGACGGAGACACAGAAAATAAGACATCACCCCCAAGGAAGATGGCCACACCGTAATCTCTTCTCCTCTACTGTCCTCCTGGGGTTCTGGGCACGCACACGCCCAGCTTGAGTTTCAAGCCCCTAAGTCGGGAACTCAATGGCAGTCGACCACGTGGGCGTGCAGCGCCTTAACCATACACCACCTGTTGGCCCCAGGTCCTTCTAGCTGTAACTTCAGGCGACCAGCCCCGGCGCCCGCGCCCAGGCCGACTTCATCGCACTCTCCCGGGCGTTCACTGCGCTCTCGCTGCGCCGGCTTCTCCAGTTCCGCCAGCACCAAGGGCAGGGGTTCACGCACTTGCTTCCGGTCTAGAACGCGTACCCGCCTAGATTTTTGCTTGCCCTTTGAACTTAGAACTGAACCCAAATGTCACTCAAAGAGCCTTCCTTCCAACTACAGCAGCGCCACTGTCCCCAGTCCGTCTCCGCCCATTGGCTGTTTCGTTTTCCTGACTTCGCAGACCGGGCCGTCTGAGTTCTCGTGGGCCTTCGGCTCCCGGGCCGCAGGCGGAGCTCGGGGACTTGAGCAGACGACGTGTGCGGGGCCCACCGTGGGGTCGCGGCCTGCGCTGCCCGCCCTAGAGGCACGCTCCCCCACCCACCCCCAGGAGCAGAA